TATTTTAACTTAAAGAGATGCGTGTGAAAACTTTGGATTTACATCATTTTTACAACACATGACTTTTTACGATGTATAAAAACACGAATTAACACAGTAACGTTACACTTAGAATCTTCATAAGACACTAAATACACGTTTATTCTTATGTAAACGTATTCATCAAGAATGTTTTGAACAGATTTAAACATTTTTGAACTTATTGAGCTTTTAAACATTTTTTAAAAATTAAAAACAAAGCATCTAAATAAGTCTTTTGAACTAAAAAGAATACATTACACTTGAAAACTCGATTTTTATAATTTTTTTATTTGAATTGTTTCTCAGATAGGTGTTTATGTTGTATTTAATGTTTTTTCACTTTAATTTTATTGATATTATGTAAAAATTGAACTTAAAGTCTAAGAGCCGGTACTGGCATGTCTATGAAACTGACACTAACTGTAATACTATCTACAATATATTAAGCCAGTGCTCAATTACCCGATGAATTTTATTTAACTATAATCTTATTATAACATTATACCAATATTTTTTTAATATCTTCCTAATTATGGTTTCTATTATATCTTCTTTTATCTTATCAATTTTCAATCGACATTAAATATATTGTAAGTATCAGTCAGACAATAATTTTTTGGACTGATTTTTGCTCTAATATTTTGCAAAGAAGTGATTACTAATTATGTCCAAAACCAATCTTATATATCTTATATATTTAATTAATTTTTAAATTATCAATCTACAGTCCAATATAAAACTAATAGCTATAAATAGACGATTATATTGATTTAACAAATCGCTAATTTTTAAAAAGTCTATTGCAATTAGGTTGAACTTCCTCTGAACATGTCATGTATTTGCATGACGAGTAATTTTATATAGAAATACACACTTAAAAGGATACATAAACTTAATCGCTGAAATGATGTTCCATTAACTATTAATTAAAGTGATGAAATAACCGGTGGGAGTGTGACCTACGGTCACAAAACCTATATTTATTATAATTGTTGGTGGACCATAATATTATAATAGCGCATACGTGCCGTGTGTTTGTCCACTTGCCGCATAACACGAAGAATGAAGATATCTCCCTCGACTGCAGTGGTTGTCATTCTTTCCGTTTTTGAGTTTATGGGGCAGATGGCTACAGCTTACATGAAAAGGGTAAACACACACACAGTGGTCCATTAGAAGGAGGAAAAGAGCAGTGGTGGCGGCATAGCCTTTTGTATCCGACCGAAAGGGTGTTCGTGCCGCCGACCGGCTTAGGGTCCAACACGTGCCCCGAAGATAATATGACCATCCGCCGCTTCGGACCACTCCTATGACCGTGACCATTGGGCGTTAATAAGGGAAAACACGATACGACGTTTATAACCTTCACTTTTTCTGCGAAAATCTTTCTTGTTCAACACTTTATTGTCGTGGTCGTAAATACTTTCTACACCAATAATTGCAGACAAATTTTTTTTAAATGATAATTTATCAAAATATTATATGAAATTTCCCATTACAAAATAGTTTTTAATTCATTTTTCAATTATAAATACAGGTCCATTTATAGATTAAGAACTACTAAATCACCTTTACTTTTACGTAAGATGATCGAGAATTCGATCATCGTGATAAATTCAAAGACATATAAATATATACTAAGTCCACGTTCATTGCGCCGGCACCGCAAAGATTATAATTTAATATTATACATGTAAAAACACAATAGTCATAAATAAAGTTGAAGTAATTTCATACGGTTAGTATAGAGGATTGGCGAAAAAATTAAAACAAAATGTACACCTTTTCAGCTTTGTAACGAAGCTAAAAATTAAAAAATAAAAAATAAAAAAAACAATCTAAAAGGAAGAGAAATTTCTTTTCTTTGCTCATAACATTTTGAAAACTTGAATGAGTAAAAAAAGGTCATTATCACGAATAAATAGATTTAATCTGACAGTGATTAAAATCACTATCATAAGAAACGCTTCGATGCAAATCTGTAGATAGTGTTTAATTTTAAAAAATTGATGGATAATTGCAAAAGCAACATCAACTTCTATTAAAATAAAATACAAAACCCATAATTANTTATAATTTAATATTATACATGTAAAAACACAATAGTCATAAATAAAGTTGAAGTAATTTCATACGGTTAGTATAGAGGATTGGCGAAAAAATTAAAACAAAATGTACACCTTTTCAGCTTTGTAACGAAGCTAAAAATTAAAAAATAAAAAATAAAATAATAAAAATTTAAAAATTAAAAAAAAATATGAATTCAACTAAGGGTATTTACAAAATAAAAGAAATACTTCTTTTTGGTACACAAAAAACAATAATATCGTAATAATTCAAAAACTGTTCTACTTTTTGCATTTTTTACAAATTTTACTTAAAAAATGACTATCGGGTGTTATAGTCATTATGACTGATGTTACAAAATATATACTTAATTTTAAAATAAAATTTAAATTTCAACTAAATTTTACAGTTTTAGTATAATATTTTAAATATTTATTTGAAGTTACACAAAATCATGTAACAATTGGTGTAGGATGGGGGGCTAGTAGACTTAGCTCTTCTCAAGTTTATAATTAAGCCCCAAAGAAATTTAGAAAATCATATGCATTGTTATATAAAAATTATTTTATGGAGGGAGAAAAATTTAATTTAGTCATACCAAAAAATTTTATTTTCCTACGCCTATGCATGTAACACAAAAAAGATGAGACACGTGTTTGACCCTGACCATTATTGCTACATATAATTGAATGTTACTTTAGGTATTCTCAAAGTGTAAAATAAAAACAATAAATCGAAGAGCAAAGACCTAAAATTGTTTAGTAATAACAATTTTTTACAATGGTAAAAAAAAATAACATTTAGATACGGCTAATGTTTTTCTCATCACTCACTTATGATTAAAACAAACAGGTTGTGACTACGAATATTGCTGATTTAATAATCATTTTGCATGTCATCGTTTTTTTTTTTTTTTTTTTGGTAACAAAGAATATTATAATATTCTGTTTTCTTAATTTTAAATGACCATTTAAAAATAGTTAATCGATTACCTAAAACAGGGCATAAAAGTAAAATCAAAAAAAGATACAAATGATAGATTCAAGTTTTACATAATTATTTGACAGCAAAATTGGTGATCTTTAATTGTGTCATCAATATAAATGGTGATACTTTTTAAACTAACCATTTTAATTTTTTAATAAATAATAATATGTTTGTGCTTTTTTTCTTTTAGATTTTGTTATATGATACATATGTATCTCTATTTATTTTCTATAAAATATTTTGTATGTTCATTCCTAATATTTTATAAGGGTGTCAACTCAATTTTTTTCATTGACAATATACATATTTAACTAGCTTATAAAATAATCTAATTAAGAAAATGACTAATCAATAATAAATTCTAGGTCAGTATTTCAAAAGTTTTTAAAAATTTAGATTAATAGCTGGAAGTATTGTTTAGGTGCTGCTATTTGTATCACTCGACATATTTCGGCATCACTCCTCATCTCGTCTACGTATAAAAATGTTTATAAACATTGGACAAGTTGATGACTTTATTAACTTACTTACTTTTTTAACTTTTTAAAAATTAATTTTATTGAAAAAAAATTAAAAATAGAATTAATGCCTTACTTTTTTTAAATAGATTAAGTTCATAGTTAAGTTAATGAAATCTTTGGATTTTGTTTGTAAAATATTAACTCGTTAATATAACTACTAGAGGTGTTTATTATTATATCTAGATATTAAGAAACCCTCTTATTAAGTAAAATACTCCTGCCGTCTATATAAAAAAATGATAATATCTTTTAAAACACTAGTCCAGAAGTTGCTATCGACCAGTTTATTTCTTAGATAAATCATTTTATAGCATGTAAGTTAGTTAAAAGTATCTATTTAGAACACTAAAGTTGAAAGAATTTTAAAATGAAAAGAGGGGAGATCGGACCAAATTGTTTTCTGGAAATTATAGATCGAAGTGACTATTTACTTCTGAAAAGAAAAAATATATTGTTTTATATATTTAAAGATATTATTAAAAAATTATTCTATATATAAAAAAAAATTCAATCTACTATATTTATTTTTCATTTTATTAATTTTTTTTAGTAGTTTAAAATGAAACTATAAAACTATGCTCGTTGTTGTGTATAATATGAGAAAAAATGTAAGCCAGTCAATTTTTATATAAAATTGGTTTATACCAAAAAATAAATATTTCAAAATCAACACTTCCTTTTTTCAATGATAGCAAACAAATTATATAATGAAGAAATTGAATTTTTGAATCTACATTAATATTAATCCTTATGAAACTAAAATATTTTAAAGAACTCTAAAAAATATTAAAATTGATTTGCAAGACTTGTGTTCTAACTTTTATTCATAATAGTGTAAGGGTAGATTTTAGGGTTAACTTTCGGAAGTTGAATGGCAACTTAATATTATTTTTTATTATTGAATGGTGTAAAAATATGTTGACTGGTTGATAACCTGTTTAACGTATTTATTTTTTGAGATATTAGCATTTGATGAGTTAGAAAATGTAAGGAGCGTGATAGTGTTTAGCGACGCTCTATTTTTGCAATGACTCACAGATAAGAATCGTCAATGTTGTATAATTCTCTCGTCTATTACTAAAAATTACATTATCTCAAAAAGTAATAACGCAAAACTGCTTGTTGACCTGTTAAAATTTTATTGAAATCATTTTTCATTTAATAGTAAACAGATAATAGTACGTTTCTATTTAACTTTCAGTAGTAATTCCTAAACATTAGTAATATTTTTTTCTTACAATAAACTTTACATTTACGATGGTTTATAAAAATTAATTAAATTTTAATTTATACATTTTTATGAATAAATCATTACTCAACAAATAAATTGGGGGTAATATATATGGTAAATTAATCTATGTATATATATATACAATTTGAAGTCTTAAAATTAGTCACAGTGAAGAATTATTATAAATTTTAATACCTTTATTCGATAAAAAATAATGTTTTCTTACACTTACAGAAGCGATTACTAAACTTTATTAGCTGATTTATAATTTCAATAATGTAATCATTGTATTTGCTAAATTTTTGAACAAATAAATGTTGTTGGGGAAATTATCGAATATTTTAGTCCGTTGCAGTTCTAATGTTCGTTACAAGTGACACTGGCGTAATTTAATTGGAGTCGGATGTCCTACCCCTTATGGCAATAATAATGGCGAAGATAAATTTATTTGTTTGGAAGATGAAGTAAACAATTTTTCTTATGTAGTCACTCACCCGAGCGAACCCTAAATACGTCACTGACAAGTAACAACTTGGTCTAAATTTATTTCTTGATTTTTCCTCAAACACCTTTTTTAATTGCTCATAAAATTCTATAAAATTACGTTTATATTTGTGGTGTGAGAATTTTATTGGTTTTTTGAAATGATAATTAACGCTATTATTGCTATTCTCCAACCGGTTAACACGTGTTAATATTGTCACCGTTGTTAAAATGAACATAATACAACGGGTAAACGGATCTTTTTTCTACACATTTTATTCCTTTTTTTCCTGAAGCCCATCGTATTCTTTTCAGTATACCTTCTTCTGTGATTTCTGGGTGGTGCATGATAATAATCCAGTAAACGTGCTATTTTTTTTTCTACAGGTTATAAAACCAGTGGCCACACACATCCGGTTTCGATTATTTCTTGATTCCGCAATACCCCTTCGTATGGCGGTCTTCATTGAGCATCGGCCATCGGAGGACTACCGCTATACTTCAATACGTATTATGTCCCACTTTAAGAAATAATCATGTTATTTTGACATCTAAAGAGGAATCAGCAAACATGCTTTATTTGAAACTCTTTATCAATCGAATTTTGAGTCTTACCCTGAAAAAACAAAACGTTATTAACTGGATTTTTGTTTTTTACTCCTTTATCGGCGTGTTAAAAAAACACTAGTTTTGTTCTTAGAATTTTTTTATAAATATTAATACTTGCATAGAATTATTTATGTTTACATATGCAGTTTTAAGCGTATACGACCAAAATCATATTGTGACATCGATACCAAAAGCAAACCTAATAAGTGTATAGAATCTAACACTATTTAATTATTAAAAACCTACTGAGAAGTATTCTTGGCGACAATTTACTTTCCTATAAATACATATACTATACTTTTATATGTATTCGAGACTATTCAATAGTTTTAGTGTAGTTATATTTTTCTTCGTTCCGTCGTATGTCTTTAGAATTACTCTATTTACGCAGTTTATGCCAACTGTTGTTCTCCTGTGACGGAATGATCCCGTTTTCCCGGAAATTTACTATCACTAGTTAGATCAACGTTTCCACGATGACCGGATTTCGCATGTCTATTTAAACACAAGACACCGGAAGAACGCAGTTAATGTGGACAAATATGATTTTCCTTTATTTTCAGAAGCTATTAACATTATATTATCATCGGAATTAATAATAAAGTCTATTATAAACGCAGGTTTAATTTCTATTTATTAAAATAAAATATTGAATACCTACGCAGTAGATTAAAGAATTTGTTGAATATATATTTTAATTTTTTTTGTGTAAAATTTTTATGGACTAATTAAAATAATCATTGAAACTCGATTTTTGTTACTGACGGATTCGAATTTAATCAATCAGTTGAATTATACATTTTTTCAACGGGTGCTTGACAATAACTATTAAAATCATAAATTTACTTGCAGTTGACTCTTGACAGAAATTTTATGCGCGTCTTAACATAAAAATATGGTTATATTAATATAAATTTTTATTGATTAATATAAATATTAAGTATGTGGTAGTAATGAGGAATAAATCCCTTCGCAATTAAAATAATTGCAAATAATTCCACTTCCTTATAGGTGAATAATTTAAATTCATATTTTATTTACATTGTGTTTGAAAATGTCATTTATTTTCTAAAAAAAACTGTTATTATTGTACAGTTTTAAAACACTTGCCTGTTGCTTATTGTGGTTAATACAGATATAGCATTATACATTTAGTAATTTAAGGAGAAGCGAAGTACAAAGCCTTTCGGACTCATTGTAAACTGGATCGATGGGCGTTTAAGATTATAATAATTGAAACATGGTGTTTTCCAAATTTTACCGGTTTCGCACATTATTATGCACACAATGATGATGATTTGCGTGTAACATTAGATCTAACCTACATTGAGATATCACAACGGGTACCTGGACCGTAACGGTGTTGGGGGGGCCCTCGATCTACTTGTACGGTATTTCGACGAATTTTCGCTATTCAAACAAAACACAACCCGTTTTTAGACGCTATTTGCAAACCCTTTTTGCAGCCTGTGCAGTTTTCGAACGCGTGCGTGTATTGTGTAACTGCGCGGGCGCAACGTGCGTTTTGCAGCTGCACAATATTATGTTTGATGTTTACGGTCGCTTGTTGAAAGGTCACCCCCCAAAGAGCCGCTATTTGGAGGCCGCACTACTAACCCACTAACGGTGCATTGGTGAAGGAGGAAGCTGTTACCGCGTCTGCACCCCCGCACAAGCGCAGCTGACAGGTGGGGTCTTCGTGTATATGCGAATAGGAAGTTTGCATGTCCTCGATTCGACCCCGGTGGCCGTAGCGCTCGTATGGCGCGTTGCATACACGTATATAAGTATATATTGTTGTATCTTGTTTTGTTTTGAAAAACGGGTTGAGTGCCGTCAGTACGCAAAAATAATAAAAACCTGGCGAAGGCCCGAAAAACGTATGAACACATGTTGAATACAGCATTTATTATCCGTATAAAAACCGCATACACAAATTAAGGTAATGATAAAAAAATAACTATTCACTCGCGGCGGCGGCAGGTATTCTAAGTTAGCCGCCAGCCCTAAAGACGACATAGTCTAAGCCGATCCTGTAATTGATTTTCGACACTAACAATTTTTAATGCTCGTACATAAATGATATTTTACCTAAAAATATTCTTCATGAAAAAGTTAACTATATTCCTGGCAATGATGTTTTAATGACTTTTTAATTCTTTGCTAAGGGTACTCGCAGTATTTTCAACAGTGTACTCTGCTAAATGTGTATTTGTCTCATTTGCTTTACAATCGCATAACTTGTATTGAAAATCTTAAGCGAATATAATGTTAACTATTCGTGGGCCAGTTAAGTTAACCTCATTGCTTACCTAAGACCAATAGATTCATTATATACATTGTATAGGTTAATACCTTGTACTCGACAGGAGCCCATTGGACCCCAGGTAAGTTTTTTATAACACGATTAGGGTCGAATCAAAAGGGATAGATCATTATAAACGCATTTATTGAGTAAATAGTATAAAAATGTTAACCGTTTGGTTAACTTAATGTGTTTAGGTTCTAGTTTTATTTTTATTAACATGACAAGTCTTTTGAAAACTATAAGACTCGTAATAAATAAATTAATAACAATACATTTTATAGCGGAATGAGTCTCGGGTTCAAGGGGGTCGATGTCCCAAGGTCTAACTTGAATTTAACTAGCTAAAGTAGCAGAAAAATGGGCAAAATGATGCCTTCTTTTCCTCGTAATATGAAACACTATGAACGCGACTTAATGAAAAAAATGTGATATTAATTTAAGTATTACGCGTTTTAATGATGCAAAAAAATGTGATTTATAGAAAATAACCAACATTTGAAAAATTATAATAATTGGTACGTCTATTCAAGTTTTAGTTACTCGCAAGTTGATATTTACACTTTTCAGTAAGTCACTTGTAACTGATTGTGTGACTTGTTTGAGAAAAAATATGTTTAAAACTCTTAAATTAAATTTTGACGCCATCTTCTACATTATACATTTTGCTTCTTAAATCATTTCTACAAATTATAGTCTAAAAAAACCATTTTTAGTACATATTAGCTTTTAGATATGAGCCGCAAAAATATTTATTTTACTATATACATTAAATCATAAAATATATTTTCCCAGTAGTATTAATTCTGTAATGCAAACAGAATTTTAAAAATTATTATTATTATCATTATTATTAAATAATTTTTAATTATTCGAAAATTCAATAAAAATACAATGTTTGGCAAGTTTATACATTATTTTTACTTAAAAGAGTGATCGGTTTATTATAAACCACTCGTTTACTCTTGAAATAAATATAATATTGAAATTTTTTTTCGATTTCTATTAGTTGTATACATCTCTTAATTTATCAGCTAATAATTATTTTTTAGAATCATTATTTATAACTTAAAGGGGTGCCAGCTTAATTTATTTTTAACGGTGACATATATATATATAACTAGCTCAAACATAAAAAATAAACTAATTAAGAAAGTCACTGGTCGATAACAACCTTTGGACCGGACAAGTACTTTGGAAGTTATTCTTATTTTTATACCTACGCAGGACGAAGAGTGTGACAAGGATTTTTCTAGTGATAAAAATAGCAGCATCTACTCCTCATCTCTACACCCAGAGAAAAACCTCGATCTATATAATAAATTCATTGTTCAATTTGATAAATATATCATTACTATTGAATCAATGATATATTTATCAATATGATATTTTTTTTTCTTGTCTTGAACAATAATTATTTATAAGAATAGTTATTTTGTTCGTATTAATAAAACATTATCATAAACCCTTGATAAAATTTCTCTTTCAATTTTGATTGAGGTTTTTCTTTGGGTGTAGTCATTATTTTAAATTGTTAATAACTTCCAAAGTACTGGTTGAAAAGTTGTTATCGACTGGTCATTTTCTTAATTAGATCATTTTCTATTTTATAAGCTAGTTAAATATAAATGTTATAATTTGAAAAAATAAAGTTTACACTCCTATCTTAAAAAGTAATTAATAGATAATAAATAAAAAAATGTATGCAACTAAAAGAAATCAAAATTTTTTTCCAATGTGTATTTATTTTGCTAGTAATCAAGTGGTTTATGATAAACTGATCACTTTATACAAATATATTACTTCATTGTTTTGAAGTGGGGATAGTTTTATAAAAAATACAAAACTATTTACGTATTGAAATTTAGTGGGTTGTAAATATTCTTTTAACCTAAATATATACAAAACTATAAGAACATATATATGCTTGGCTAAAGTATTTCAACATGCTCTACGTTAATTTTCAAAATCGAAACTAGATATATACTACGAATTTACATTACCCTTCAAAACACCACTGGCATCACGTCAAAGTTAGTTGTGAAAAAGTATAATCTGTATACAATAACTTTATAATGAACTGAATTATTTGTATTTCATGATTATAACTATTACTTGTTATATAAACGACTACAATTTTTAAGATCTGCAGGAAAATACTTTTAGAGGACCCTGTGACGACTATTCGGTGTAGGAGAGATGAAATCAATAAATTTGACGGCATGGCCCCTTAATCCTGTCTTTACTTTTATATAGTTACGCTAATAATATCTGTACTCATAATGACGATTGTTATAATTATATTATTTATAAATAAAATTAAAAAAAAGTGTCAACATATATAAAACTAATTTGGTGAAGTTTTTTGATTAAGTATTCAGTCGAAAAAATGTGTTTAACATATCGATTTTGTGAATATAACATAACACTTTTTCATGTAATAAATTATTCTTTTTTTAACAATATTTTTGTCAATTAGAAAACATTGTTTGACTAAGAAAAAAATGTTCAGCTATATTTTTAAAATATTTTTAAGTGATATATTTCTTTTACTTCTATATACTTCTTTTACAAGCGTACCTTCAGAGTATCATTCGTAGAAGTCGTCAGTGACGTCAAAGGAAACAACTTTTGAATTTTATATATTCTCTTTCTATAACTGAAAAATATGAGCGTACTCTTAATTAAAAAGTTAAAACAATTGTCTACCGCTATGTATTACAAAGAGTCAATAGCTTAATTAGAGTTTCGTCTTAAACATTGTATATTCCTGGTATAATTATGTGATACCCATATCTCCTCCATGATTGCGGCATAACAATTATGTATAATAATATTATAATTAATAAATAGATACCGGCCAAGTTGTTTTGGATCCGATCTGATCGAGTTATAATTAAATGTCCCTCATAGAGAAAGTCATTAACATCAGATTTTTGACAAACTTCTTTAAATAGAAAAACAGCTTATGTCTACAGTAATGTGTTAAGTATTGGATTTAACTGATCCAATACACTAAAATATATGATGATGACATTATAAACATTAGTCATTTGAGTTATTCGTCATAATTATCAACATACGAGTTAACTGAAATTCGGGTCTCCGATATTTTCTTACACTACTCTTTCTTTTGCAAAACTTAACCTGATGTTCAATACCCCCGCGGGTTTTTAATCGGCTGCGTTGAATGAACGTACCTAAGGGTTTCCGCAAATAAACGGGGCGTGACTTTAGCCGGTGTCATCGGAAAGGGTGGAGCGATCGGGAAGGGATGATGACCACACCGTGTTGTACGGGTACTTGGTAGCCTATATATAAGTCACAGAGCATCAACCGATCATTGACAGTTTATTGCCGAAATCGCGACCTGCTCAAAAGAGGAACTCGCTCCTGTCTAAAACTACAACATTTACACAGCACACTCCTTTGGGCTTCACTCATTCGCATCTTCAAGTTCCTAAGGTAAGTCAAGTCTATTATCTTTTTACGCCATTGTTTACTTTTAGTCTAACATTCACAGAACCAATAAAGTAATAAAAGTTTTCGTGTTGTAGAATAGCATTACTTTATTTTCTGGTTACTAAATGTTTATAGAAATAATATGTCCACACATTTTCTGGCTTTTAAATTTTATTTAATGAATTTGTAATTGAATTATATGTAATTTGAAAAAAAAAATATATGATTTATTCATTTTTACGTTGTAGTGAATTAATTCGACAATCGCCAATAAGTTCAACGAAAATTTAATGCATTTATATCACATTGTAATGTGACTTTTTTTACGCGAATCTGTGTCGTTTATTTAACGTTTAATTAAGTAAATCATATACCACTCGAACAACTAACCAAAACAACACGAGCATTGCTCTCACCTCTCACCTTATGTATTTGTATTTTTAAAACGTAATTTATTAAATAATAGTCTGTTTATATCTACACAGAAAAATGTTGCCGGTGTTTGAAGAAAAAAAATTCTTAGTATATTATTAAATAATTTTTTTCGTGTTTAACAAATAACGAGTAACGCGTATGTTTTGTCTAAGTAGCTTTCACTAACAATAGAATTTTTTTTAATCCAACGGAGTTCGGTAGCATTTGACTGGCGTTAATATGTTCTGTAATAATAATATTGTGGCAGTTTTATTCCCTTGGATCTTAATTAAACGCTTAACGAGCGTTTCTCACTAGCGATAATAGTTTATATCTAGTTAAAATATTCATAACTAAAAAATATAAAGGTTTATTTACATGGGACGTATAATCGAACAAATATTTTTGAAATGAAGACTTTTCGAAGTACTCGTCGCGTTACACGAAAATGAAATTCGCTCAAATAATGATCGCGTTACGTATAGTCTATTACAAAGCGGTTTAAGATATTGTGTTACAGACAAACACATAAATATCAATACGAGTGTGTACAATAGGAAGGAAGGAAAGAATAGTATGACATGTGCCCGTGTCTATGAATTCCTATAAATGGCATTTTAATGGGGTTAGGCCCTCCTTTTACCTAACCCTGGCGCTAATGGGTTTTTAATGGTGATTTTTGATATGGGACATGTCAATCAGCACAGCGCTAGGCCATGCAGGACGTCTAGTTAAAAAGTCTAAGGATTTATTCGTGATTGGAACTTACACATGACAACAACAGTGTCACTAAAAATACCGATTGACGAATATTCAGTGATAAAATATTCATTCAATTAAAATAGTGAATTTTTTTTTAGCTGTTTAAAAATGATGTCGTCTAGCTGCACATCTAAGACTACTGACTACTACTATCAAATGAGACAAAAGAACAACGAGGCAGCTCGTAACAGCCGATTCAAGAAGAAGGTGGCCGAAATTGAAATATCCGCTCAAAAACGAAAACTGGAGGTGACTTATGTTCAGCTAAAAAAAGAAATCAAACGCATACAAGTGGTAAAAGCGTCGTAAAAAACATCTATGGCAAACATGTTCTTTGAGTAAGTACACGTTTTATAAAAACAATTTGTACAAAAATAGATTGTAATAAGATTAGTGATTGTGTAAATAATAAAAAAAACAATTCAAAATTATTAATTTTCATTTTGGTAGTGATTTTAAATTCACTCAAAACAACACTCTTATTGCAATTGACAAATGTTGCAACGTTTTAAATTTTACGTCTTTGGGGTATAACTTGGCGGTCGTGGTCAGAATGAGTAAGCAAAAACGTTCATATCTTTTTGGATCACTTCAAAAATATACTTAATCAGTAATAATAGTAATGTTGTCGTCACACGCAAGGGATTTACGTTGCGAATATAGGTCGACCTGTTAGACCATAGGGTTAAATGGTATACAGTCATACTGCACCTGTTGAAATTTTTATACATTTTACTATTATTATTTATTGAGAACAAGTCTTACTGTAACCATTGTGATTACACAAAGAAAGATTACATTAAAGGAGTTGTTCACAACATTTTTCATCATATCTCTTGATTTTACAACTGCATTTCAATTTGTTTTCAATCCAACGTTTAATTTAACAACATTCAAACATGCCAAAATTTGTATAAATAAAATTGCTCAATCTTAGTTCATTGCCACAAATTTTGTTTTTATTATGACGCCACAGTATAGTAGTTGGCCGTTTAACAACCTACTAGGTTGAAAAAAAATGTTTATTTCTTTTTTTGAAATAGATAGTGTTTTTTCATTCATGCTATTCCGACATAGAAATTATTTTTTACCATCACTAACCTATTCTATCTAAAAGGGTACAATTTAGATTGATTTTACAGAAATGTTAACTTCCATATAACAAAATGATCGTAAATGTCAATATAATATTTCAATTGCAAAAAAAAAAATTACTTGAAACTACAAAAACTATATTTATATAATTTTAATGAAAAAGTATTATTAACAAAATTTAAAAAATCATAACAAATACATAAAGCCTTATAAATAGTTAAAATAGCAATTTATTTACCATTAATACTTAGTACTTTTTATGTTAATAAATGTTTTTCTTTTTAGTTTTATTTCGTGATAATCAAAACATTCCGAAGAAACAAAATTCCTGCCAATCTTGTTAATGGTGCACCTTTGGTTCTGTCGAATTTCTAGTCAAACTATTACAGTGACGCATAATTTCGTGATATCAACATATATCTACACATTCATTACAATGTTAATAAAAAAAAAAAAGAATTACAAACATCATATTGATACATAAAATACTGTAACTATACATGCTATAACAATTTACTACTTCAATTTTGGTTAATTATTATTATTATTATTATTATTATATTATATTATATTATTAAATGTACAATTATTTTATTGTTTATATTGATAAGAATGTACAATTATTGTGCTGTGTTTTGTAAATTTCAATTTATATCATATTTAATGTAAAAATATAAATATTTTTTATTACCTAAGTTTTTTATGTAATTGTGTTTGTCGATTTATGTAGTAAAAATTCCATTATATTATTAACTAAGTATTTAGCAATGAGTAAACACTATTAAAATAAATATTGTTGATGATAATGGCTGTATTTGAAATGTTTGAAGCTAAGATTCGTTTGAAAAAATCAGATCACTTAACGTATAAGGTAACTTGAACAAGAGTACCTAATAGATATACAATAAAATGTAAACTATTCTTTAAAAATTTAACTTAAATAATGTACCAACGATTATCATAAAATCAAACAAGTATAGTTAATTTTAAGTTTTACATTTTTTCGTTAATTCAAAAGCATTGTTAAAATCCCCCAAAAAACTGTCTTAGCATAAACTGAATATTTTTAACACTTTAAATTTAATATAAACAATAGGAAATCAATTTACCTTGAAAACAAGTAAGCTAAATTTAGTATAAAATTGGTCTTTTAAACTCATTAAACGGAAATTGTGTTTTTCTATTTTTACTATATACACTAAAAGTCTCTTTTGTAAAAAAAAATGTTATGTATGCCTAATTTACTGCTTAATACTAGTGTTTATTATAATGACCACTATGGTTAAAGGTCATGGTATTATAATACGATAACTTTTAACGAATAAACTTTTGAATTCTTATAGAGTCTAAATAAATATTTTATAATATTATATAAAAGTAGTTCAAGAAAAGAAAAATCGTGTAGGTAATTTATTACATTTATGTGCTTTAAATCTTGTGGTATATATTTATTAAATTATAAAGAGGAAAATTTGTCGTTAGGAAGCATACATATGACACATTTATGACTTAAAAACTTAATAAAATAACTAGTGTTATTAAGATAAAATTCACTGAACAGAAAAAAACATATAAATAACTACAAACAAACAAAACAGGTGTACAAGACGTAGTATAACTTCGTTAAAATATTCAAATATTTATTAAGTATATTAAACATGGAACGAGGAATCGCGTTATTTTCTTGTTTTAATAAAAATTATATAAAAAAAAAAGTTGTCTCTAAAAGTTGCATTTATATAATATTAGATGAGAGTAATAGTAAATTTAAAATGTTCCAATAATTTTCCAAAGCAATGTTTTACTATACTAGATTTTTTTATACAAAAAACGTTTTGTAAAATAAGATTTAATAACTAAAGTAAAAAAACTCATTAAACTAATTAAATAAATTAATACTTTATTTTATAATAATTATATGTTACACTATTTTATGCAATATTCACTTTTTGTTGCCTACATAAAGCGCCTAAATTTCGAACTTTTTACTATTTTAATTTTTTGTTGATTAATATACCTAAGAATGAAAACACATGAATAGGTTTAAGAAATCTTTAAAATTATAAAACATGTAAAGATAATTTGTCGGATTAGTTAAATAATGACTTTAATGTTTTCAAACTCTATAGGACTTTTCAATGATTACTCAAAATAAACACATTACCCTATCTATTTGAAATCACTTGAGAAATTGAATAAGTACATGAAATCAATTTTAAGGTATTATCAAAATAATGTGTTCACTTATACAACTATTTTTCTGACACATAAACAAAAAAATATAACACTTTGTAAAATAAAAGATTTTAAAACTTCAAATGTTAGTCAAGTATTTAACATAAATTATTAGGTACTGTAAAATATATTTTAATCTACAGATGAGTTGCATCGAAAAATTAACAAAAATAATTTTAAATAGTCATTTGAAATGGTACTTATTACTTTAAAATAGTGTCCACGTATTTTTGTTTTAACTGCAAAAACAATTAAATTAACTAATTAGATGGGATGGTCCATAATAATAGTAATTATTATTAATACTTTATTTTGCAAAAGTTTTCTGCGTCATAGATGACACGCAACACGTACACAACTATAGAAAATATTACCGAAAAGTAAATAATATTTTTCAGTTTAGTTTAAAACATAATTGAAGTATATAATGTATGTTTTAATATTACATAACATAATATATTATTATTAAATCCCATTAAAAATATTTGAGATGTATTCAATTTAAAATATTTACTTAAACACTGTATTATCAGTAGTCTAGACTTAAAAAAATTACTTAAGAACGAAACAGTAAATTCTGTACTGCGTTTTTAAAAAGAATTGTTTCAAGGTTGTTAGTAAAATGATGTGTGATGATAAGCAGAAAAGATTGTCTCAATTTAAAATTGATTTAAGATAGTCATTTGCAAAGAAATCAAGTCAATGTCTTAAATTGATTTTAATTAAATCATTATTTTAATGCTAAGGTACACTGATTTAATTCAGCCAATTTTGATGAAGTCATTTAAACCACAATAAGTTCTAATAGGTTGCCACTTGTCTTCTTCAGTAATACTCTAATGGTTGCTCTACTTTTATGAAATAAATATAACTAAAGAGAACATTTACAATGATTTTTTCTATAAAAACTAGAGATAAATGTATAAATTCATTGATTTTATAGCCTCTTCAACATAATAATCAAGTGCATAATGCATATCAAAGTCGTTACAAATGTAAGCGCTAAGTGTTAATTAAAATTTTATGACACTCAAAAGTTATTGTGCACAATTTATTTAATCTTTATAAAGTCTGTATCTTGTAATCATTATTATTACATACATACATTTTTTCTTTGTGACCTTTTAACAAAAAAAATTGATAAACCATCGTTATTAATGAAATTAGCAGTTTCATTGGCTAATATATTATGACATTCTGTTTTATAAGCTGTTTATCAACTTAGTTAACTAACTTCATTATTGAATATTTTGTTTGTTTTTCGTTTGAATAAACTCTTGTTAAACATAATACAATATTTTAATTTAGTAAATTTAATAATTTTAAAACATAATTATGATAAAATTAAGTAGCTCAATCAAAATATTGTTTTTTTAAATTTTATGAATACAAGAAATATATAATTTCACAATTTTTTTAAATTGAAATTTTATTTATAAAAAACATGGCATTTATTTTAAATCTTATAAAATATATGATTATAAAATCTTTTATAGATAGTTTGAACGTATATTAATATTGAAATCATACGATTATCATTATCAGCAATGCATATGACAAACAATCTGACAGAAAAGAAGAGAATCAAGTATTTTTTTTATCACCTATTAAACCTCTCGAAAAATTGTGAAGAGTTTTATAGAATAAGTAAACTTTGAATCAACATTTTATAAAAAAAATATATATATAATAATAATTCCAATATAATTTTGAGAATATAGCAAAGGCCAAGGAGCTTTAATGACTAATTAATTAACTAATTAAAAAAAAATATACTTTACATAAATTATACACTAATTTAAAACGGTTTTCACCAACGATTTAGCTTATAATATCAATGCTGTTGAGTTAGTTCTGTTTAATAAGATGACGAATTGCGTAATTCGACTAGATCTTTGAAACGTCAACAAGTGAGAAAAAATATGTAAACACGTAAAGGATTATATTCAATGATATGATATTCATTATTTTTAACATACAAATACTACAGAAGTTACATTACATGCAACATACTATTATTTTCATTGGTTTTAGTTTACAAACAAAAATTTTTTTAGAAAAATTGCGATTAATCTAAAAAGATTTGAAGATCCTTCATGTGGTTGCATTGAATTAAACCAACAACTTTCCAAAATAGTTAGTACTGCACTGTGAGAACTCTCATGTAGTAATTCAAAATATGTCATACTAATTTATGAAACGAATTTATACTTTTCTGTTATTGATTAACAATATTATTTAGTATTATGCATTCATATTTTTATGTACTACATAATAAACTATTGCAGTGTAATGATGTGCATTTTTACTACAAGAAAACATATATAAATACGTAAAAATTTATCAATTTTGAGTCACTACACTAGAGTACTCAAAGTACGATATTATAATACCTTGTATACTTGTTTTTTTTTTAATTTTCCATTTTAAACAACATGTTGCGAACAATCTTTTTTATTTTTATTACAATCAGAAAAAAAATGTACTAATTATGTCTACAGTTGAATGATTCTTATAAAAAGTCACCATAAAATATAAATTATTTGAAAATTTTACATAATTAATAAATTAAAAAGTAATAAAATGATGTGTTAGAAAAATTAATATGCTTCGATTTGATTTTTCTTCAAGTTAATATTCATTTGAGAATGTTTTATCATGTTAATTTTACATATAAAAGATGAAATTATGCGAATTAATTTAATTCACTATTTATTAGTTATGTTATTTTTTTATTTAAGTAATTTGATTAATTTAGATGTAATAAATTATTCAATTTATTTTTAACAATTTGTGACGTCATGCTGTAAAATTCATTGACTTACAAAACATTAGCAAGCAAGACTTACTCAATAGTATGATTACAACTATTCATTAGGTATCGAAATATTTATTCATATCTTGAATATTAATAAGAATCTAAACGACTGTAAAAAAAAAAATTTTATATGATCAATATCAGTGCATTAATTATGATTATAAAATAAATTATTGTAATTAACTAGAAAAAGTTGTAGGTATTCGTCTATAGGTGTTTCTGTGATAACTCCATTATCAATGTTCATTAGAATTTAATGATACGAATTTCATATGATTTAAGATAAGAAACAACATGAGTACATTTATTTTATTGCACTTTGTAATTTGCACCTTCATGGTGTTTAGTATTAATCTTTTTGGCAAATATTTATAAACATAGTAAGAAATTTTCCCTTTAGTATACAAATCGGTAGGTATCTATACTGTTTCACGAATGAATCAGCGGGTCAAGGTTATTAGGAAAAATAAGTTACAGCCGGGGTTATGATTTTTGGCAGCCGGAACTAGACCTAAACCGACATAGCGAACACAATGGTGGATTAAATAGAAAAATAGTATAAAATTAGACTAGATAAATTTAGTCTAATCACAAGTATTTGTGAAGCGTCCAATTAATTCAAATGACTATATAATTCATGCAGTTATATACTGATATTTTTTCCACCCAGAACTTTTGACTAAAAAAATCCTGGCTTCATCATTGATAATATAATTTGTTCTATCTTACGGTTGAATTTCTTACCCTTGAAGCAAACCTTGAAAACTTGGTTGGATTTTAATTGTATTGCTGTGTTGTTATTGCTCAATACTAACCAAATCTAAAGATAGTTAAAAACAGTTACCGCACAAAGACAAACACTGTTTAATTAAAAAAAAACCAATCATTAGTAAAAGTTCTCATTTATATAAAATATGGTGTTTGTTTTTCACGCATATGATTTATGAAAAAAACTTTCAATCAAATGTCAAGACTGTGATTTTACATTAAAGTATATGTTGATTTTGAATTAAGAAAAATGAAAATTGACACAATTTTGGAATAGAGCCAATGTATAATTACGCACAAAAACATTAAGAAAAATTATGATGACAGTTTTACGATTATTCGTTTTTTATTATTGTTATCCCTAATATTATTATTATTATTTGGGTAATTTACAAAAATTTGTAAATATTCTTAAACACTCGTGTCTATATTCTAACAGATAATAACCTACCGCAGATGCATACAAACCAATTAAAAAAAACTGAGTGAAAGATTGTGTGGTACTGCTGAATA